AAATAAGATAAGAACCTGTTTGAACAAGATAAGAACCTGATTGAACAAGATAAGAACCCGTTAGAACAGGATAAGAAGCTGTTGGAATAAGATAAGAACCTGTTTGAACAGGATAAGAACCTGTTAGAACAGGATAAGAACCTGTAAGAACGGGATAAGACCCTGTTATAACAAAATAAGAACCTGTTAGAACAGGATAAGAACCTGTTGAAATAAGATAAGAACCTGTTAGAACAAGATAAGAACCTGTTAGAACAGGATAAGAACCTGTTTAAATAAGATAAGAACCTGTTAGAACAGGATAACAACAACCCTTTATGTCAGTGAAAAAACCTCTGTAACGTCTGTTCCATGCTGTGGTTCTGAGTCAAAAGAACATAAAATAGAACTGAATGTTCTGCAGTGGTATTTTTGATTTCACTGATTCTCTGCCATGTTCCCTCTGCAGCCTGATGTTGGACACAACGATGTGGATCCTCACTTCAAACATCTGTTTGTCCAGATCTCTGGAAATGTAACTCATTTATTCAGATGTCTTTGTGTTTGAAGCTTCACTTCATGTCCGTCTGATAGAACAGGGACAGAATGTCTCACACTCTTTCCTTCTGTCTCAACAGGACTCTGAGATTTCAGCCTTTGAGCTCCAACAGATTTTGGACAAAGTTGTTGCTCAGAGTAAGAAAAGATGATGATGATGGTGGTGGTGATGATGATGATGGTGATGATGATGATGGTGATGATGATGGTGATGATGATGGTGATGATGATGGTGGTTGTGATGGTGATGATGGTGATGATGTTGGTGATGATGATGATGATGGTGATGATAATGATGATGATGATGATGGTGATGATGATGGTGGTGGTGATGGTAATGATGGTGATGATGTTGGTGATGATGGTGATGATGGTGATGATGGTGGTGGTGATGGTGATGATGGTGATGATGTTGGTGATGATGATGATGATGGTGATGATGATGATGGTGATGATGATGGTGATGATGATGATGATGGTGATGATGATGGTGGTGATGATGATGATGGTGATGATGATGGTGGTGATGATGATGATGGTGGTGATGATGATGGTGATGATGGTGATGATGTTGGTGATGATGATGATGATGGTGATGAT